AAAACTAAAAAAAAAAAAAAAAAAAAAATAGGTTGTAAATGGGTGCCCTGATTCAAAAATTGTTGAGACCCATAGAGTTAGCAGTAGTTACCCTCAAATTAGGTCACACATTTAGCACTTAATGTTCAGGATTAGGCAGAAAGTTTCCCCATAGACACATTAGTACAGTATTGTCTAATCTGGAAGTTTTACACCTTCCTTCCAGGCATCTTCTGTTTGGTCCTGTCAGAGGCAAGGTGTTGAATGCAAAGGACTGTGGTTGATTTTTTTGTTGCTGTTCATATAAGCAAAGAATGAAAAGGCAGTGGGGTTGTACAGGTATATCTGAAGACACACTGTGACTGGCAGAGTATTTTAATGCTAATCAAAATGTATGAGCCTGAAACATCTCAGTCCAATCTGCAGATTTTAAATTGTGACATTGTGCTATTGAAGCTAGATAAGCTTTAGTTTTTCCTTGTGAAGTGAGGGAATTTGATCCATCAAGGCTTTGAAAAAGAAACATGTATTCCCACAGTGTTGCAGCTAAATACTCTCTTTTCCAGTTGAAACTGTGCTTTAAAGATCTTCCACATTTATTGGCATCCTTAAAACAAAGATCTAAAAATATTTATGCCAGAGGCAAGGATTTCTTCAGGTGATATCTTTTATTGGGCCAACTGTGCAGTTGTTATAGAGTTAGACAAACTTTCAAATGCAAGACACTCTTCCTCAGGTCTGAGCAAGAAGATCCAGGCACAGCATAGTAAGAGCAGCAGCAGGAGGTGGTGAGAGATTCCCGGGGGCAGCAGACACACGATGCTGTGATAAGACCTCATTGTGATCAAACCCGAGGGAGAATGTCTTGCTTTTGAAAGCTTGTCTAACTCTATCCCAGCTCCATAGTTGGTCCAGTAAAGGCTCTCACCCTAAGAAACCCTTGCCTTTCATGTAATTGCTGGACTGTCATGGCTACAGCATCGCTCTCAGACAGCCTAAAAACATGCGAACGTTCAGGTTCTTGTTCATGCAGAGCCTGTCAAGCCGTATGCTACATCTGCACTGTTCACAGTGGGCTAATCGACATAAAACATCTGTGTGGAAATAGGCTTTTTGGTCAGTGCTGGTGACTGATGGAGATGAGCATGAACCTGGATTGGGCTTCTCCTATTTAAATCATAATGAACGCAGACTGCTAGGTTGATTTGCCAGAAACATAGAATAAGTGAACATTTGACAGCATGTACAAGGTTAGAAACAGCTGGCTCATGAATTATACTTTTAGTCTTAACACTGGTCACTAGGGCTGTGTGAAGCTTTGGGTGCTGATTCAATTCGGAGGAGATTCTGCCCAATTTGGCAACTGAATCTTCAAATCCTAATCAAACCAGGAGACCAGTTAAAAGGTCCAAATCAATTCAGAGCTCTCTGAATCGATTCAGGAAAGATTCAGAGAGCTTTGGAGATTCAGGGAGTCCCTACCCGCTGCTGCAGGGAGCTAGACCTGGACTCGGAGCTGGTAAGTAGGGGGCAGGGGAGGGGACCACAGGAGGCCCTGTCAGGCCTCATCCCCTGCCTGCCCCAGCTCCTGGCTCTTAAAAAAAAAAA